TTCATCTTGGTTTTGCTTTTTTTTCTATATAGCATTAACTTCTTTGAGATAATAAATCTTTAAGATATACAAAAATATATGTATAACCATTATCCAGCTTAAGAAATAAATTATCAGCAGAGATGAAGTCCCCTGCATACTCCTGTTGTATTATTACCCTTTCTTTCATCCTCTTTAGCATAACCATAGTTGTGAGATTGATATTTACCATGCATTCCTTTCGACCTTTACTACTTCCATGTATACTTGTAAATAATAGATATGTGTGGCCTATAAACAAAACGCATTTTTGTTTATGCACTTAACATTGTGAGATTTAACTATGTTGATAGGTATCTCTAGTTCATTTGCTTTTGCTGTAAAATTGGTACACAATTGTATAAAATTGTATATCAATTTTACAGCAAAAAGAAATCAAAATCACTCTTTCCACAGATATAAAAATTAGTTTTCCTCCAATATCTTGAGGTTACATCAGTCCCATTCTGAATATCTTTGTGTTTTTTACTTGCATCTCTGTGATTTTAAATATATATCTTCAAGTTTACTAGACATTATCAAATTGATCTCCAAAGTGGCTGTGCTAATTTACCATCTCAGTATCATTCTCTGCATCTTCAGTAACATTTGGAATTAACAGTCTTTTAAAGTTTTGCCATTTGGGGATTATAAAATAGTATTTTGTTGTGATTTCAGTGCTAACTTTTCTCAATCCTGATGCTGGTGAACATCTCTCATTTAGTTCTTTTCTGTGAATTTCTTTTCTGTCTTGCCTAATTTGATATTGAGATGTTTATTTTCTTGATGTGTACAAGTTTCTTCTTTGTTCATTCATGTGATTCTAGATTCTAATTCTTATCATATATGTTGCAAATATTTACTGTTATGAGGCTTTGCTCATCTTTTTTATACTGTCTTGATGAAGAAAAGCTCTTCATTTTAATAGAGTCAATCCTATCAACATTTGTGGCTTATGTTTTGATAGCTATATATTCCCATATTACATTGTATCTCAAAAACAATTACAGGAAGACTAAAGGCCTGAAGGCAAAAATCAAAAAGTTATAGATTTCATAAGAAAAAAGAATCTAATATAATAATGGAGTTATTTATTCTATTTTTTCTATACATTTTCTTGGATTTCTATGTAGACAATATTTTGTCTGGAAGTAATGATTATTTGGCCCTATTGTTTTCAGTCTTGTACATGTTCCGTCTTTTCTTGTCCTCTTGAATTGTTAGGACCTCCAATATATTTTTAAATTACAAGCAGTCATAGTCATTCGTTACTTAGGGCTTTTTTTTCTTCTGATTTTAAAGGGAATCCTTTTAATACGTTATCATTTAGTAAGATACTTGTTGTACAGTTTTGGTGGCTATCCATTATCAAATTAAGGAATTTGCTTTTCATTCCAAGTTGATTAAGAATTTTATTATAATAGCTGATTAATTCAAATGATTATATGGTATACTTTCTTTAATAAGTTTTTATTATGAATTACACAAATAGATTTGCTATTAAAGGATCTCCTTATTTCTGGAGAAAACACCACTTGTTCGTTATTCATTTAATGTGTTACTGATTTCTGTTGTTAATGCTTTCTGTGCTTTTTCTTATAGGCATTTGCATTTATGTTCGTGAATAAGACTGGGCTCTAGTTATGCTTTTTGTTTCATGTTTGCTTTTGACATAAAGTACTTTCTTTATTTCTCCTCTCCTCTCTCTTTTAAGTGTTAAGAAACATTGGGAATTGGAGGAGGAAAGGATTAGGGTAGGGCAGAGGTTGATTGACTCTTAAGCAGTGTCTTCAGGATCTGGCTTCTCTCTATCTCAGAATTCTGTTCACTCTTCCTCTTCATGTTGGTGAAAGAACCTGTATAGCTGTTATATAAAAAGTAACATATCTTTCTATTTTTATGTAAATTATCCACCAATTACTGTGGGTGCTCTTAAAATATTCTGTTATGTACTATCTCCTTTAATTTTACCTTGTGATTCTTTAAACTTTTTTGGTATGTATTTTGAGTCTTTATTATTAGGTATATATCATGGTTGAGCTGTAATATCTTGGAACTTTAATCATCATGTACTGACTCTATGTCTTTCTAATAATGAATTTTTACTTCAAGTCTAGCTTTTTTTTTGGAGTCTTACTCTCTTACTCTGTCACCTAGCCTGCAGTGCAGTGGTTCACTACAACCTCCACCTCCCGGGTTCAAGGGATTCTCCTGCCTCAGCCTCCTGAGTATCTGGGGCTATAGGCACAAGCCACCACGCCTGGCTAATTTTTGTATTTTTAGTAGCGACGGGGTTTCACTGTGTTGGCCAGGCTGATCTCAAACTCCTGACCTCCAGTGATCCACCCGCCTCCCAAAGTGCTGGGATTACAGGCATGAGCCATCGCGCCTGGCTGGCATTCTTTTTACATATTTGCTTTCCCCCTTTACTTTTAGTGCTTTTGTGAGCTTAAGTTGAGGATGTGTAAACTGTAAGAAGCATTTAGTTGGATTTATTTCTTTAAATGTAATCTGACTATCTATGTCTTTTAAATATTTAAACCATGTGATAGTTGACGTGACACATTCTTTCTATGGTCTCATTTTGTGCCTTCTATTTATTCTGTTTATGTGCTAGTCCCCACCCCCACTCTTCCATAAACATGTCTTTTTTCTTAATTTTTTGGATCGAGGATTTCCACACTCCCCCCAACTCCAAACAATTTTCCTTCAGTACTGTTTTGGTAGTTACATGTTCTCTATTATTTTGGCAGTTTATCTTAAATTTTTAATTGTCATAGCCAACTTGAAGGGGCATTTTGTGTCCTGGGTCTAATTATTTTTGTGTGCCCTAATTCTATTCATACCATCATTTTCCATAGTATCTTTCTAAATCTGTTTTCCTAGGTTTTACATACTTTGTGTTCTCTTATTATATGGGTCGTGCTCCATGTCTCCTCTCACTTCTTCCAATGGCTCAGCTCTACTGTAGCGGCTGGCATTTTTGACTTGGCCAACGATGACTGTGTACATTCCTTGCTCTTTTGGCCACTCTGATCTTTGTCCTTTCCAGTTTAATGGAAAAATTATTAAACTCTTGCCTGTGTACAAAAACCATTATGCTTAACACCCTTTTCAACACTTTTTTCTTTTTATGCTGAGGTTTCATCTGAGTGGGCTTTGCAAAAACAAAGACTAAACTGTGGATTGAAGTTGAGTTCACAGTGCAACCTGATCTACAGCAGTGTAAACCACATATGGACATCATTTTTTATTCCTCATATTGACTATTAGTGTAAAAAAGAGCATTTGATTAAATTTCATTGTTCATATAAATAAGTAAAAAGTTTTCTTACCATTTGCAAAGCTGTATACTCCTGAAAACGTGCTTGGAGATACTCAAACCAGAGTATAGAAAAAAAAAAAAAAAGGATAGTGAGAGAACTAAGTTTTGGTCTTGCCTTCTCAATAGCTGAGTAACCTTTGGCAGGTCACTTTACCTTGGTGAAGCTTTACCACTCTGGGCCTCAGGTAATTAATTTGTAAAATGATCTGGCAGGAAGTATTAGTTATCTACTGCTGTGTAATAAATTATTCAAAAATTTAATGGCTTAACATGACAAGTATTTTTTAATACTTTAATACTTGACAGCTCCTTGACCTTGGCTTGGCTAGGTGTCTTTGATTCAGTGTCTCTTGGAAGGATGTAATCAAGGTGCCTGCCAGGACTGTGGGATGGTCGTTTTCAAGCTCACTCATGCAATTGTTGTCAGGATTCAGCTCTTCAGGTGTTGTTGGACTGAGAACCCCAGTTTCTTGCTGGCTACTAGCTGGAGACCTCCCTCTGTTCCTTGCCATGTGAGCCCCTCCACAGTATGACAACTCGCTTCTCCCAGAGCGAGGACTCAAATAGAGAAAGTGAAAGAGAGCAAGCAAGACAGAAGCCTCAATCTGTGATCTAATCTTGAAAGCAGCATCCTATTATTTTCTCTGGTTTCTATTACTTGCAAGTCACTTGATTCAGCCCACACTCAAGAGGAGAGAGTTCTTTGTCCTTTTCTGTATTTAACCTGATTGCTTCTCCCAACTTAGTTGGTGTGAGAAAGCAGTTGTCTTCCTTTCGGTCTCCACTTGATTCAATCATTAATTATGTTAGAAGGCACATACTTTTCTTAGGTAAGAGTTAGAATCTATTTGGGTGTTAAGGAAGACTACTTTCTGCCTCTGGAGGAGTTGAGAGTCTGTATACATGTCATATACCTCACATGTGTATAATCTGCATACATGTAATGCATATATTTAAAAGTCAAAACAACATTAGAAGGTTTCAGAATAAAGTTGATTGCAAAATATTATTTTTATTTTATTTATTTTTTTAATTGTACTTTAGGTTCTGGGGTACATGTGCAGATCATGCAGAATTGTTGCATAGGTACATACGTGGCAAGGTGGTTTGCTGCCTTCCTCCCCTCATCACCTATATCTGATTTTCTTCCCACATTATCCCTCCCCACCCTCCCCACCCCCCACTGTCCCTCCCCTAGTCCTCCCCAACTGACGGTGTGTGACGCTCCCCTCCGTGTCCACATGTTCTCATTGTTCAACGCCCACCTATGAATGATACCATGTGGTGTTTGATTTTCTGTTCCTATGTCAGTTTACTGAGAATGATGGTCAAAGCCAATATAAATGAAGTTCCATTTGTAATTGTGGATTACTGGTGATATATCATTGTTTAGACTATTTAAATATAAGGTTTTTTGTGATAAAAGATATAGAATGCATTTTGCTTCCCTACTGTTACATAGGAAGGACATTGGTCAGAAAATTGATTGTGGGGAGAAGCTCTGCCATTGGTTGGTATATGGACAACTTTTCTTAATACCAGTTTTCTTACTTGTAAAATGAGGTTATTGATACCACAGTCTCAAATTAGATGTTTCGTGCTTTATAAATGATAGTGTTCTACAACTAAATGGACTTTCTTTAACCTCTTGTTTCAGGCCACATGTGACCAACGGGGCTGCTGCTGGAGTCTCCAGGGAGCAGGAAGTGTTCCCTGGTGCTACTATTCCAAGAATCATGGCTACCACATGGAGGGTGACCTTGTAAACACAAATGCAGGTAAGCCAGAGTCTGCCATGATGCAGGAGGTCCAGACCCTCTGGAGACTGGCTCTGTATCCCCCAGAGGAGAGCTGGGGCAGCCTGCAGAGTTCTGCTCTGTGGGGCCATATAACCACATATGACAGAAGGTGGGCACTGCTCTTAATTAAGGACTAGAATCTATGTGGGCACCAAGGAAAAATTACTTTCTGTCTTGGGAGTTGAGAGACCATGTTCTCTTTCTTTTTTTTTTTTTTTGAGACGGAGCTTCGCTCTTGTTACCCAGGCTGGAGTGCAATGGCGCGATCTCGGCTCACCACAACCTCCGCCTCCTGGGTTCAGGCAATTCTCCTGCCTCAGCCTCCTGAGCAGCTGGGATTACAGGCACGCGCCACCATGCCCAGCTAATTTTTTGTAGCTTTAGTAGAGACAGGGTTTCACCATGTTGACCAGGATGGTCTCGATCTCTTGACCTCGTGATCCACCCGCCTTGGCCTCCCAAAGTGCTGGGATTACAGGTGTGAGCCACCGCGCCTGGCCCCCATGTTCTCTTTCTACCTTCCCCTTTATGAATCTTCATGACTGCAATAATCATTAATCACTTTGGTTTTCAAATTTATCCCTTTTAAAGTGGGGGATTTGAAATCAGTAACCTCTCAGACTACTTCCAACTCTAATTTTATGTTTTTTTATGAAATGGAAATATTTCAATTTTATAAACATGTTATGAAAGTTACTATTCAATATAAGTGTTCATGGAATGAATAGCCCCTCTTCTTCCTCCTACTCTAAAATGCAGAGCATAGGCTGGGCACAGTGGCTCACACCTATAATCCCAGCACTTTGGGAGGCCGGGGAGGACAAGGTGGGTGGATCACCTGAGGTCAGGAGTTTGAGACCAGCCTGGCCAACATGGCAAAACCTGGTCTCTACTAAAAATACAAAAATTAGCCGGGTGTGGTGACACACGCCTGTAGTTGCAGCTACTCGGGAGGCTGATGAAGGAGAATAGCTCGAACCTGGGAGGCAGAGGTTTCAGTGAGCCAAGATTGCATCACTGCACTCCAGCCTGGGTGACAGAGTGAGACTGTCTCAAAAAAAAAAAAAATACAGAGCATAATGATGATCATTCTGGAGGATTGCAGAAGGTGACACTTTAGGGAGGCTCTCAGTATAAAGGAAGAGTCATGTTCGCCTTTCAGATGCTCTTGGCCTGATGGACTGTTCTAAGTCTCAACTCTCACCTCGTTTACCATTTAATTAGGGAGATGGCATCAATGGATATAATCACCTCTAATGCAACACGAAAATAACTGGGAAGGAATTATGTGTATGTATGTCAGGTCTGAGAATGTAAAGAATGTTTGATTAATACTGAATGACTGATGGGCTGGTGGAATGAGTGTTAGGCTTATTCGGGGAGGTTTTCAATCAGATTTTGTAGAAGAGAGACATAGATTTTTATATAATGTAATGATGATATTTAGCTCCAGAATCTGCCATAGATAGTGTGTTCATATCATGGGATATGTATCTGTCTCTTCCTTTCTTTTGAGAAATAGAGGGGTTTTTTTTTTTTCATCAATCACTTTGACATGTATCCTAATTTTTATGTAGTTATTATTTGAGAATTTGCAGAGTAAACTATGAAAATCTTTTTTTTTCTCCTATATTAGGATTCACAGCCCGATTGAAAAATCTGCCTTCTTCACCCCTGTTTGGAAGCAGTGTTGACAGTGTTCTTCTCACAGCAGAATATCAGACATCGAACCGTTTCCACTTTAAGGTTGTAATTTGTTTACATTTCTTTGAAATTTTTATTTTATTATACTTTAAGTTCTGGGGTACATGTGCTGAGAGGCTTTTGTTCCCTACCCGATCACTGCAGTTACTACAAAATAGAAAATATTGCTACTGAAGGTATTTTTCTCTACTGTCATTATTAATTAGCACCTGTACGTTAAAGACATACACAGAATAGCCTTCCTTTAGTGTGGTGACTTCCTCAATATGTATTACAGCTTACTAGTGAATTTGGCTTCCATTTATTTACTCTAGATAACATGTGGAATGTGGTAGGAAGGTAAAATAGGGAAGTATTACAGCTATCAGTCCATCTCTGCAGATGTGCTGTGTGTATTTCTACCTAAAGACTAACTTATGCCCAAAGGTGAACCATTTGAATTTGGTAACTTAAGAAGTACCTCTATCTTAGACATGAAGTCAGTATGATCAGTGCCTGATTCCAGTACCATAAGTACGGATATTGGGAAGCTCCAACAAGTTTTTATTTTGGCTTTCCTTCTATCTCTGTACAGTTGACCGACCAAACTAAAAGCAGGTATGAAGTGCCCCATGAACACGTGCAGTCCTTCAGTGGAAATGCTGCTGCTTCTTTGACCTACCAAGTTGACATCTCCAGAGAGCCATTTAGCATCAAAGTGACCAGAAGAAGCAACAGTCGTGTTTTGTAAGTTTTGGAAACGTATCTGAGGATCAAAGTAGGAAGGTTACAGATAAGGGAGGTCTGTAAGCCTGAGGAAGGGAGTGTTTCGACACTATTCCTGAAGGTTGTGAGTCCACTATTAGTGGCCAGACCCTTTATCTCCTAAAGTGTGTGTGTGTGTGTGTGTGTGTGTGTGTGTGTGTATGTGTGTGTGTGTGTGTGTGTGTATATATATATATATATATATTTCTGGCTTTCTTCTTCTTTCTTCTGTTTGCATAATCATTGCTTCTCTTTAGTTTTTCCTTTCTTCCCCTCCATCTGTAATATATAATCAACTGTCCACCAGTAAATATTTACTGAACATCTCCCATTGTAAGTATAGTGTTCTGGTCATGTGGTAGAGTGTCTGGTCCGGGAGACGACTGTAAGAAATTTGTACATGGTCCCTTTCTTCAAGGAGTCCTGATCTCTTGTTGTCCATAGAAAAATGTCACAGGAAGGCAAATGGGACTGAATAAATGGGGGCTACCGAGGCATTGAGATACAAAGGATGCTTTTCTAAACAGTTATGCTCTCTCCACCTGCTTGCTCACCCATCCTTGTGTTCTCTACCTTGCCTAGGTTTGACTCGGGCATTGGGCCCCTCCTGTTTGCCGACCAGTTCTTACAGCTCTCCTCTCGACTGCCTAGTGCTAATGTGTATGGCCTGGGAGAGCATGTGCACCAGCAGTACCGGCATGATATGAATTGGAAGACCTGGCCCATATTTAACAGGGACACAACTCCCAATGGTGTAAGCTTTCAGATGGGTCCCTTTCCACTGAATGTCATAGTCTCATTCTTGAAGGTCGCCTCTAGTATTACAGTGTAGTGTTTAAGAGTTTAGAGTGAGACTACCTGGCTTTGAATTCTAGTCTTGCTACTTACCAGTTACGTGGTTCTGGGTGTTACTTACCTCTCTGTCTCTAGTTTCTTATCTATGAAATGGAAGTAATATCTCGCTAGGGTTCTGGTGAGGATTAAATAAACTCATACATGTAAAGTATCTAGAAGAATGTCTGCCACAAAGAAAGTGCTCAATAAATGCCAACTAATTCATATTTTCCTAACTAGATATGGAGAAGATATTATTAATATATGTACTCTGAACAATAGTTGATTGTGATCTCCATACTTTTAGGTTCACCTTTAATCACTGACTCGGCAGGTTTATTATCAAAATAGGATAAAGTCTCAGCCAAAACAGTCATTCTTTTTGTAAAGAATGATTGTGGTAGTGAAAGAATAGACAGAGTTTTGTTGTCATTATTGTTTTATTGTATTTCCGCTGTTGTTTATTTTGACTGCTAGACCTTGAAGTGACATTGTTTTTTAGACTTAGCAATACTCCATGTTCAGGGCCTTTCTTTTTCATTATTATTTCTTCTTCTTCTTCTTTCTTCTCCTTCCTTCTTCTTTCTTCTTCTTCCTCCTTCCTTTCTTCTCCCTTCTTCCTTTCTTCTTCCTTCTTCCTTTCTTCTTCCTTTCTCCTTTCTTCTTTCTCCTCCTCCTCCCTTTCTTCTTCTTTCCTTTTTTGAAATGGGGTCTCACTGTCACTCAGGCTGAAGTGCAGTGGTGCAATCACCACTTATTTTAGCCTCAACCTCCCTGGGCTCAGGTGATCCTCCCACCTCAGTTTGTCTGGAATAGCTGAGACTAAAGGTGTGTACCACCATGCCTTGCTAATTTTTTGTATTTTTTTTTTTGTAGAGACTAGGTTTCACCATGTTGTTCAGGCTGGTCTTGAACTCCTGGGCTCAAGTGATCCTCCTGCCTTGGTCTCCCATAAATGTTGGGATTACAAGTGTGAGCCACTGTACCCAGCTTGGCTTTCTTGACTAAGCAGAATTAATGGCTGGATGGAAGGAAATTACAGCAGTAATTTATTAGTCAGCTATTTATATATATACATACATATATGTATATATATATATATTTCTATTTCACTATGGAGTCCAGAAAATATAATAATTTCTTGTTAGAGAAAACTGAGGCCCAGAGAAGTCAAATTAATAGCTCATGGGAAAATAGTTTGTAAGAACAGAGGAAGAATTGAATCCCTACTCTGTCTAATTTAAAGCCCAGGCTCTCTGTACATATACTTATCTATCAGACAAGCTGAAAAGCTGTTGAGTCAGAGCAGCTTACCTAGGAGCACTTGGTGATGATTGTTTCATTACGGAGCCTCAGATCCTTGCTACTCAAAGAGTGTATGTAGCAGGGCAGCCACCATGTGAGAGGTGGGCCTTCAGTCCCTCCTTTTACCTATTGAATTAAAATCTGCATTTAGAGCTGGATGCAGTGGCTCATGCCTGTAATCCCAGCACTTTGGGAGGCTGAGGTTGGTGGGTGGATCATTTGAGGGCAGGAGTTCAAGACCAGCTTGGCCAACATGGGGAAACCCCATCTCTACTAAAAAATACAAAAATTAGCTGGGCTGTAGTGGCACGTGCCAATAATCCCAGCTAATCGGGAGGCTGCAGTAGGAGAATCACTTGAGCCTGGTAGGTGGATGTTGTGATGCGCTGAGATTGCATCACTGCACTCCAGTCTGGGCGACAAAGTGAGACCCTGTCTGAAAACAAAACAAAACAAAACACATTTAACTAAAATGCCCATGCAATTTGTGGATACACCAAATTTTGAGAAATACTTTTCCAGAGCAATGGTTTTCAAAAGTGACTTCATGTTGGAATTATCTGTAGAAATTAAAAAATGATAGTGATGTCTGCTTCCATCTCCAAGGATGCTGTTTTAATTGGTTTGGGGTGCAGTCTAGGTTGAGAACTCCTGTTCTGGAGTCTCAAAGACAAGCCAAGACTAGAGCTCCATCTAGTTGCCTGATTGATATTAAGGCATATTGATGGAGCTTTTGCTGATGAGGTTAAGTCAGATTAAGACAGGCCTCTTTGAGAAGGGAGCTCTTTTAAATTACAATTTTAAAATTCCTATCCTCCTACTTTCTAAAAAACATTACAGTCTTCACATTCCTTCTAGATGAATGATCATAACAGGCTCATTCTGTAAGAAAACACGAGTTCACTTGGTTAACATCAACTAGATATAGATCCCACCTTTTAAAAATGTATTGTGCCTTTATGTCCATGAATTTCCTGTCAAATACTTGCATGATTAAGACTGATTTCCTAAACCAACCCTGCAGTGTGGTTCTGAAACCTCTTGGTTGTAAATTTTGGTTTTTAATTATCTTTCTACAGAATGGAACTAATTTGTATGGTGCGCAGACATTCTTCCTGTGCCTTGAAGATGCTAGTGGATTGTCCTTTGGGGTGTTTCTGATGAACAGCAATGCCATGGGTAAAGGAATATTCATGAAAAAAAAAAAAAAAAACAAGCACAAGAGTTATTTTCCGTCCTTTCTTATGGCACTATGATAAAAGGAATGGATCCCTTTAAGAGTGACTGAGCCATAGTGTAGGGAGGGCCTTATATGTTCTCTAATCGTGCCATCCCTACTTCATTACCTGTTGATCCATGGTAGCCATGAATAGGGGATTTTCTCCTAGCTTATGATTTTCCTGAATCTGGTGGCTTCTGTTGGAATATTTTCTGTTATAAAGTTGAGGGAGCTAATCCTTCTCTATAATCTACTCTGAGATAGTTTCCACCAATGTGTTCTTCTCCAGCTTTAGCCTTTTAGTCAGCAGATCCCAGTAGCAATGAGTTGCCACAGGGAAAGAGAAGATGTATCAGAATCTCCCAGGACTGATGGTGGGAGCAGGATATTGATCCACACCTCTTCTCAGTTGTGAGTCATCCATTCAATCAGTACACCTCAAAGTGTGGTCCATGAATGGGTCACAGACTTTTTCAGGTCTATAGTAAGATGAGTATTGAAATGGCAAGTAAGCAGTGCTGTAGCCTCCACTTGCACACATGAACCTTTTTCTAGCAATTCATTTCCGTGTTATTTTATGAAAATATCAGCTTACAGTGAAATGGAAATTAAAAAAAAAAGATCTGATTCTCCACCACAGAGATTTGAGAAGCACTCCAAATGATCTAAGATGATTCTAGGACATCTAAGAGATGAATCTAAGATGATTTTAATAGAATCTTAGATGGTCCTAAGGTACTTAAAATACCAAATAACCTAAGAATAGACTGAGATAATATAATACAAGGACTGTATAGTTTTAGGTAGGTGAAAGGAACCAGAAAGTAAGATGAGTCAGGCTTAATGGGAAAGGTCACAAGATCCTAGATACTCTGTATGAGTTGTTCCTATGACCAAAGAGTACATTGCAATATTTCTTGAGGCATTTTATTCCTAGATACAAATAAAGGTAATAACACAAATTTTGAGAATGGTGATTGGCACATAGTGGAGTTTTGAATTTATGATATAATCTCTGACTTTTTTTTAGTTTGGCTCTTGTTTGATGTGAGATTCACTGAGGGTAGTTACCTCCATGTCTAGTTGAATTATATTCTCACAATAATGATGGGGTATGTGGTGGGACATGTTCTGTGGTTGCGAAAGTCAGAGAGGAAAAACTTCTCTAACCTCTTAGGGTTAATTCTTGGGAGCCTGCAAATTAAGCTGGCAAGAAGACAGATTAGCAATAGAAAAGGCAGAATTTATTTACACATGCAGTGCACATACACACGGGAGTTCTCAGTGATGAGTAACTCAAAGTGGAGATTAGAACTTAGGGCTTAATTAATAGGTGAAAGGGAAGGAGAGAAAGACACTTATGAGAGAGCAAGTGACTTTTTGGAAAGATAAATGGGTCCTTAGGAGAATAGGTGGAAGAATATTATAGTCTTATGACACTGTCTGTCTGGGAATGGTGCTTGTTGTCTCAGAGAAGATTAGAGGTACTCGTTGGAGTGGATTTATGACAATTGCATTTTACTGAGTTCTTTTAGGAGACTCTGCTTTTAGGCACATCAGGGATTTCAGTAACTCAAATGCCTTCAGCCTGAAATAATTTTTTTATGTCACAGCGGTTTATTCTGGACGCTTTCATAAACCTGGCTGCTTTTTCCCCAGAGCCTGGGGCCTGGCACAAGGCACTAAGACACTCCAGTCACCTTATTAAAATCTATCACAGAAAAAATGCCTTGGCTGCCAGGCGTTGTGAGGGTGAACTTGGATGGTCAGGATTTGTCCCTCAGTATTCAAAATGTGAGGCACTAGCATCACTTTGTTAATGTTCACATGGCTAGTGATCCTGTGTTATTTTAAAACTTGGTAGTTACTATTCAAAAATCTATTCTGATTTTTATTTTCTTCATTTTTAATCTTTCAAGAGGTTGTCCTTCAGCCCGCGCCAGCCATCACTTACCGCACCACTGGGGGCATTCTCGACTTCTATGTGTTCCTGGGAAACACTCCAGAGCAAGTTGTTCAAGAATATCTAGAGGTAAACTTAGAATGTCATGATGATGACTGAGGAAATCCTAAACAGCAAATATTTTTAAAAAGTAAATGTCATGTGCAAGTGTGACTTACAAAAATCTGCTGTTATGAATTTGAGATATTAAAGAATAGATTTCATATATGAAATGGAACCTTGCTGTATAGCATTTTTATGTTATAAAAAGGTGAGAGAATATAAAGATGCCCCAAATGGCCTTACCCTCCCAGATTTATGAAGGGGCTGGAAAAACAGACTAACATTCTAACATTAATGAATCAGTCCGTTGGGAAATGGAATATGTTTGGTGCGTTGAAACCAATGCTTCGAAAAATTTTTATTAAAAACAGAATTTGCTAATTTTCATGTAACATATTTATTTCAGCTCATTGGGCGGCCAGCCCTTCCCTCCTACTGGGCGCTTGGATTTCACCTCAGTCGTTACGAATATGGAACCTTAGAAAATATGAGAGAAGTCGTGGAGAGAAATCGCGCAGCGCAACTCCCTTATGTAAGAAAGGCTTCCAACAGTTCTCCAAAAGTAAAGAAATTCCCTTGAAGAAAAAGAACAACTCATTTTTTTCAAGGAACCAGTTCTTTATAGTATGAAATAGACTGGGAGACCACAATTATGTGTTGGCAGGCAATCTGTTTTTGTTTCTATTTTTCTTATTATGTATTTTATTAGTAAACATTTTTGTGCTTACCGTATTGAGTACATTTTACAGGTGTTTTTGAGTTTTCAAGGCATTTGTCTCTTTAACTTGAATTGTATCATTTTAATGCTCCTCAGTAGGGATTTTCTTGCCTTACACACGTTCTTGGTTTGTTTTGACTCAAAAATGTCATGGCAGGAACTGACCATAAAAGTCGTATCGTATTTTTAGTAATTCCTTTAAGATTCTGGCATAAGATTTTGTGTCTAAATTCTTAGATCTTAGGTTTAGTGTCAGGTAATGAACGAAGCAAATCTCCAGTCTCCCTACCTATGTATTAACAGATGTTTTGAAGACAAATTGAGGAAGCGGAATAGTTCTAGACCCTATGAATTTAGTTAGGAATAATCATATTACTGGAGCAACCATGAGCCATCCAGGTTAGCATCATTTTTTGCACAGATAGTAAACTGAGGCTGTCAGGGGAAATAACATGACGAAGACCATATAGATAGTTGATGACAGAACTAATACTGCATGACTACATGGATGTGAAAAATAATACAACAAGTTTTAGGTCCATGTGTTCTAACATTGGTATTTCATTACTACTGAATTGGCAATAAACAGAATTTGCCTTTCTCTGTAGAGTTGTCATTTTGCAAGTGAAGCAGAGCTTCAGTAGACATTTTGTAATTTGGTGGAAAGATAGTCCATAAATATGAAGTGTAAAAGAAAGTACTTAATGGAATTGAGATTCAAAAGGCCTAGGAACACTGAGGAGATGGGGGAAACAGAAAGTCAGAGTACATGAAGGTGTTTGGTTGGATGAATTCACTCTCAGGTTAGCTGCAGAAAGTCAGGGTAGATAAAGACGTTTGGGTGCATGAATCCACTGTCAGGTTGACTGTAGGTCCCACTACTCATTCTCCAGCACGACATGGCTTTGCACATGTAGGGGTTGGTTGGAGGAGGGATAACAGAAAATGTGGTAAAAGCAGGATTGAGCCAAAGGATAATGAACACAGCCACCATAATAATGAGCGCTACAATGCGGTGAACCCTCGTGGCAGGCAGTGTGCTAGATGCCTTTTTTAGTTATCTCAGCAACTCCGTTTTACTCTTAGAACTCCATTTAAGATTAGAAATCCCAGCCAGGTGTGGTAGTTCAAGCCTGTAATCTGTGCACTTTGGGAGGCCGAGGTGGGCAGATCACAAACTTAGGAGTTCAAGACCAGCCTGGCCAGAATGGGAAAACCCTGTCTTTACAAAAAATACAAAAAATTAGCTGGGCACGGTGACATGTGCCTGCAGCCCCAGCTACATGGGAGGCTGAGGCAGAAGAATTGCTTGAACCAGGCAGATGGAGGTTGCGGTGAACTGAGATCGCACCAGTGCACTCCAACCTGGGTGACAGAATGAGACTCTGTCCAGGAAAAAAAAAAAAAAAGGATTAGAAATCCCATTTAATTTTAGAAAACCAGAGGAACTAGTTTTCAAGCCCAAATCTCTAATAACATGGTGGCTATCTCTTTTTTTATGTCATTTTTTCCTTACATATAGCTAGACATTTCCTTCTTAAGTGATCCAGAAAATGAAAGAATTGAACTGTTAATGGTGCCTAGTGGCATGAGATGTGAAAGGGAGTGTTATGACAGGGAATTGAACACTATTAACAGAGTTCAGTATACATGTCAAAACCTGCTTCATTTAAGTGAATAAAAGTATATGGTATGGATATGTAATAAAATATTTTTGTACTTTGAATGGCTAAATTTGATTGTATCTATTATATTGAGTACTATTGGGAATGAAGTTTAACACGAGATGCAAAGGGCAAAGCTAAGTAGTCTCTAGAATAATCCTTTTCTCTCCCATGCTCTATTCCCTTGGAGAAGACACCTAGATTGTAGAGAAGGGTACATTTTATCCTGGGCTTCACTTTGTTTGTGCAGGTAACATTAGGATAGCATTAACAACAAAGATGTGAGGTAGAAGCGAAGTAACGAAATAACACATGGGGTAGTAAAACGTGGGAGATGTGGGAGAGAGACAGTCTCTTCCCTTCTTTGTCTTGTGAATAGGGTGAAATTTAGGTAATTTCTTAGGTGGATATGTCTGATTGTCTTAGCGATTTGTCATAATTGGTGTTGTTTGTTAGATTAGTAGATTGGTTTTTAATGCCAGAGTGTCAGGCAAGGACAGGATGATTGATGCAGTTAACCTGCTGGCAGGGATGCGACCAAGCCTTAGGGAACCAACCGGTCATGTGTTTTTGAAGTCACCATTGGAAAAGAAGCACTCAGTTGCCAGGAACTGCCTCAGGACTCTGTTTAGAGCCCAGCACAGACTTGCTGTGTATCCTGAATAATAACAATGAAAATTTGATTCATTTTACCATGGAAATTCCTAGGTGCTGATTGTGGACTTTCTGTATTCTTTCAGGATGTTCAGCATGCTGATATTGATTATATGGATGAGAGAAGGGACTTCACTTATGATCCAGTGGATTTTAAAGATTTCCCTGAGTTTGTCAAGGAGTTACACAATAATGGACAGAAGCTTGTCATCATTGTGGTATGTACTGCACTCTTTGCCCAAAATTAGGTATTTGCTCCTCTGTATCATACACCCATCAGCTCTGCTTTCTTCCCCAGTTCCCAGTCTCCTTTCAGTGCCTCCAGCTTCTAGCTAATTTCTCCATCGCATTTTTTCTCTTTTTAGGATCCAGCCATCTCTAACAACTCTTCCTCAAGTAAACCCTATGGCCCATATGACAGGGGTTCAGATATGAAGATATGGGTGAATGGTTCAGATGGAGTCACTCCACTCATTGGGGAGGTAACTTAATGCGGAGGCTGGAGGCTGGTAGAGGGGCTGTGTAGGGATGTGTGAGTGTGTGTGTGTGTGTGTGTGTGTGTGTATGCATGTCATTGTTTTGTTCTACATTTTCAGTGTATTTATATATGCTGGGGATAAATTCTCCTCTGCCTTTTCATGCCCAGGTGCATACTAGCCATCTGGGCTTTTTGATTCCCTTCATAGCCAAGTCCCTTTAAACAGCAGCTCACACACTGAGTGTCCACTTCCTCACCTCCCGCACACTCTGCAGCCGACTGTGGTCTCCTTTCTTTCCCCATCACTTCCTTGACACTACTCTGGCAAAAAGCACCTGTTGCTTTCTCACTGGTAAATCCAGCGGAACTGTTTCATGACTCTTCTTACTCAATTTTCCTGCAGTATTTGACAAGTGTACCCACTTCTTTCTCAAATGTTTATTTATCCTTTTTTTTTTTCAGGAAGGTGTTATCTGCTTGTTCACTTCTGAGACCTCTGATGACCTTTCAAAGTATAGTGTCTGAGGGAAATTGGATAGGACAGAGAAAAAAGTAAATGATGTTAGGATCTACAGCTTATAATGGACTCGCTGAAATTTACACAGTTCTCTTCCCTCATTTACTATTCCCAGAATTAAGAACAAAGAAAGTGATAGAGAGTTGAAGATGAGTAAGTTAGACAATTCCTTTGAAGAGGAAAAATTAACAAAAATAAAAGTAATGCAGGAAAGAGAAGCATGTGCTTAAAAAAGAAAAAATAAATTTTGTTTATAAAAGAAAAAATAAGCAAAATTCCCTGAGTCCTTCCCCTACCCATGGGATTGTATCCTGCTTTGCAAGTTTTATAAGTTTATAAATTCTTGTATTCTTGTTCTCTTTTGCTGATAACTGTAAGTTTCTGTAGCACAGCAAAGATCATAAGAAATGCTCAAGCAGGCAGGACTCCAGCCTTCCGGGCACTGTAGCAGAAGGCAATAGATACAGCCAGTGCTAGAATCCTTGAGCTCTACAGATAGCGAACATCTGGGTTGCATAGCAATAGTCATATGTCAACCTAAGTTAGGTACTTATCATTGCTTAATCAATTGCCTTTGCTCTACACCTGCAAACTTGTTTTCGTGCCACTGTGTACTTCATGTATAAAAAGTCAAGCCCTGCCTTTGTTAAGGACTCAGCCGTTTTGTTCCCAGTCAGGGAACCAGCTGGGCCAGTGCACACCTAAAATAAACTCCTTCTGTAACCTCAACGGTCTCTCCAGTCTCTGAAATCCTGCAACACCTTTAACCACAAATTTATTCATTAAGGACTTAAACATTTTTTGAAGTACATTTTTCTTCAAGTGACCCTGACATTTAAGTATTCTGAACACTACACCTTCCTAACTAAATAGGATGTGTTCCCGGCGACCTTGGTTGCTGTGATCATATTGGGAATGTTTTGCAAAGTACTTTACTTTATTCTATATTTGTTTAATTTACTCTTATTCATGTTTTTCTTTTTTTCCTGAAGGTCTGGCCTGGACACACTGTGTTTCCTGATTATACCAATCCCAACTGTGCTGTTTGGTGGGCAAAGGAATTTGAGCTTTTTCACAATCAAGTAGAGTTTGATGGAATCTGGATTGTGAGTTGTTTACACTTGGATTATTAGGTGGCAAATATTCAGATTGTGTACATCTGTATCTGTATCTTTGAGTCATGGAGAGGAGGAGGACAAGAAAGGAAGTATGGCAATAATATTCTCAATATTCACTGTCTTACTATTCAAATAATCTTACTAAAGCACATAGCTTAGAATAAAAATCAGAATGTTAGAGCTGAAAGGACACTCAGAAATTTTTTCACAAGTCTAGTTCTTTTCTTCTTCTTTTGTTCTTTTGCAAATGAATGAGCTGAAGTGAAGATAGGTCCTTACATTGTTGCAAAGTATACAAATTATTCAATTGCTAGTTCAGGACTCTTCCATTTGGACATGTTAAACAAATTGATCAGAGCCAAAGTACTCAGGTGCATGAACAAACTGTGCCTGTGGTAAAGAAAAATGTCTCATATGATGTCAGATGAAAGCAAATGTAACCTAGCCGGGGGTTAGCAAAATTTAGGGAGCCCCAGAGTTGACCCTTTTTCTTTTTCTAAGAGAACTATAAGGCTAGGCACAGTGGCTCACGGTTGTAATCCCAGTACTTTAGGAGGCTGAGGTGGGCGGATCACAAGTTCGAGACCAGCCTGGCCAATACAGTGAAACCCCGTCTCTACTAAAAATACAAAAACTAGCTGGACGTGATGGTGCATGCCTATAGTCCCAGCTACTCGGGGCTGAGGCAGGAAAATCGCTTGAACTTGGGAGGCAGAGGTTGTGGTGAGCTGAGATCACACCACTGCACTCTAGCCTGGGCAACAGAGTGAGACTCCATCTCCAAAAAAAAAAAAAAAAAAAAAAAAAGAGAGAACTGTAAAAAATTCAAACAATACCAACAGCTAAAAAGATAAAAGCAAAAATCCTCTGAAATTATAGCAACCAAAGCCATTGATTATCAGTATATTAGAATGCATCTTTCCAGACCTTTCACGTGTGCTCTTTCTCCTTCTTTCTCCATATGTATGTTTACATGTATTTATATGGATATGTATTTAGAGTTATATTTACATATATGGAAAATGTATAAGTTGAAACATATGGCAACATATAAACTGATTTTTCACCTGATTTGTTTTGGAATTGTTCATTTTTAGCAATTATGCACATATTATTTGAAGAGATGTTAAAAGCCTTCTTCATGAAACCTTCAGTGGGTAGACAAGACACGAACACCCACTCTATTCCATATACATAAATACCCCCTTAAAATATCTGGAATAATTTATCTGATTCATTAAAAAAAAGACAATATTAGTACCTCATAAGAGACCGTGTTACTTTTTCTTAATAGTTTTTGCTCTTTGTCTTGTAGGATATGAATGAAGCCTCCAACTTTGTTGATGGCTCGGTCTTAGGATGTTCTGCAAACAACCTAAATTATCCTGCATTCATTCCCAGTAAGTCATGGTGGTCAGCAGATTAAAGTAGAAATATGTATTTCATATTTTAAATTCATAAGGACAGATCTGAAAAATCTGGTAGGGAATTTGTTCATATGTGTGCACAGAAAAAGAATGTGGGGAATATAAGGAAAGCTAGGAAGGAAAATAAAAACACTCTGTGCTTTCCTAAAAGAGGCACAAATGCAAAAGGGGCTGTCTAGTACTTCTACTTATAGTCAAAGCTATTTCTAGGTAAAGAGCTAGAGAAGATATGGTGTAGAGGCCAGAGGCTAGTGGTAAGTTTATGTTATTCTCAGGTATGCACCCACAGACCAGGGTTTACCAGAGAGACACCAGATAACAAACCTTCATCTTCAGGTGAGGGTTATGTCTGACGTGTCCACAGAGTGAAGAACTGAGCTACAGGATGAGAAGAAGACAGAACTCATGACCTTGGAGGTCAAAGTCAGGGAGCGTGGTGATACCCAGCTTTGACTGAACTTTGGACAACACTATCTCTCAGGGTGTGGCCTTGGAATTATAGCATTGGCCATAGTTTGAAGAATGCTAGAGGTTCAAGGTCAGATTATATCTTGACTGAGAAAGGAAAAAACTGCTAGTTTGATAATTTATGAAGGCTTCAGTCTGGTGGAAAGAGAGAAAATTGGGGCAGGTAGGTTAGAATCAAATGCTGAGGGACTTGGATGAGAGGCTAAACAGTTCATATTTTATTCTTTTGGTAATAGAAACTACTTATCTTATAATAAGAGAGAAGCATAGTTGTCAGATGGTAATGTGGATCTCAACCAGAGTGGTGCAATGGGAGGAGCAGAGAGGAATGGATGAATACAAGAGAGATTGGAAATCGTTCTCTACAGTATATTAACCGTGCAGAGAAGGACTCAGAAGTTAATTTACACTTTCATTCAATATCTCTATTTTTGGACCACTTAACTTAGCTCAGTTTGAAGAATTCAGATTGAACTTCAGGTCTGACTGAATCTTCTTGCTTCCATGTGTCTGCCTCTAATCACACGAGAGCTCGGGTGGGAGGACATATGGGGACCAGAAGAATTCATTTATCTATCAGAGAAACTACTCCAAATGGATAGTGTTCTAAGAGTAAGAGAACAGTGTGACTGTTTACAGGATGTCTGCAAAAGTGCCTCCCCAGGGGGCTGTCATTTCGGTTTGTGTGATAGTCAAAGAGCAGGAAATGTGCAACTCAGGCTCTCACTGATTGATTCCTCTTTTGTTTTAGGAATCCTAGATGGGTGCCTGTTCTGCAAGACTCTCTGTATGGATGCAGTGCAGCACTGGGGCAAGCAGTATGATGTTCACAATCTGTATGGCTACTCCATGGCAGTCGCCACGGCAGAGTAAGACCACTATGGCTAGGACCTGCTGATTATTGAATATAAAGAATATAGATGTGTGTGTGTGTGTGTGTGTGTGTGTGTGTGTGTGTGTTTATATGTGTTTTTAATTCTTGTAGATTACGGGGTTAATGAATAAAATTTCTTAATACAAAACAAAGCAAAACAAAACATATTTAATGGTGCAGAATGCTCCCAGTAGGGACTCTAATTCTACTGAAAGAGAGCTGGAAGAGAAGAATGGGTTATTCGTTTTTAATGTCTTTGGTATTGTTGCTGTATTCCTGGGCTGAGATAAGCAAAGATCCCGCACTGACTCCTTAAATCTCTCTCCCTTTCTAGAGCTGCCAAGACTGTGTTCCCTGATAAGAGAAGCTTCATTCTGACCCGTTCTACCTTTGCGGGGTCTGGCAAGTTTGCAGCACATTGGTTAGGAGACAACACAGCCACCTGGGACGACCTTCGATGGTCCATCCCTGGAATGCTTGAGTTCAACCTTTTTGGTATCCCAATGGTGAGTTGCTACCTCAAGCTCTCCTATGAATCTGAATTCCCAGAAAGCTTCATTTTAGAAAATTTTTGAGCCACAAAACTCCCCTCTCCTGCCTGCCATGGCTGGGGATTTAATGTCTTAAGAACGTGTCATTCATCTATATCAACAGGGCTTTGATACCATGACATTCTTTCCTGTACTACTGTAGGAAGATAGAAGGTGCAACTTTGATATTTGCTGGAATATATCTTTTTATTGAAGTATAACAAACTTTATACAGAAAAATGTATGTATCCTTAAGAATACAGCTGATGAATTTCACCAACTGAACACATCTGTGTATCTAGTACCAAGATAGTACCAAGAACTGTAACATTGCCAGCACCCTAGGGGCTTTGACATTTTTAAGTTAAATCCAACATGTTTATGAATTGAGCTCCTAGAATGTCCAAGGTCTTGAGCAGAGTAGGCATGGTGAGAGGGAAGGAAAGCGTAAATATAGTAAAGATGCACATTCTCTTTGCCCAGAGGGTTTACAGTTTAGTAAGAGGAGACATATGTGTAAATAAATAATTATGACAAACTAGGGTAAAAAGACCAACAGGGACATATGAGTTAAATGTTATGGGAGATCCCAAGAAAGGGATTCATCTGACAAAATTATGAAGGACAAAAGGAATCAAGGCAGGGAGTCAAGAGACATTTCATGGAAAAGATAACATTTGAAATTAAACTCGAAAAGCAAGTATTTTTCATCTGACTAATGAGAAGTTCATTTTAATAATGAGAAATAAAGCTGAGCAAAAACAGTATAAGGGGGATTATTTGATGTATCTATAAGGATTGGTGTGTGGGACTGGAATGAGAAATGATGCTAAAAATGTGGGTTCGAACCAGGTTTTAAAGAGCTAAAAGGATGAACAGCAAGGAAGTACTGGAGATTTTTTAATAGGTGAATGACATGGTCAGAGTTAGGCTTTAGAAAAATAATGCTGATAGTGGTGAGGTCAAAATAATAATATCAACAGTATTGCTAGGTCCTAGGCATCCAGAAGCTCTTGTACGTAAAGTGTACGACTTTAATTATCTCACTCATTTACTAAATACCTGTGTAGTTATTTAGTACTAACTAACAAAATGAGAAAAGTGAGGCACAGAAGGGTTGAGTAACTTACTCAAAGTCATCCAGCATTCAAGAGTGAACACAGGCTGTGACTCAATTCTGACCACCCTCCTAGCCTTCTAGGTCAGAGGTTTAAATAAGGTTCAGTTGGGAGATCCCTGGTGGAAAGCAAAGAAGAGTGGCAGAAGGAAGTGAGGTATACCTGTTGTCTGTGTGTCTTTCCAGGTGGGTGCTGACATATGTGGCTTTGCCTTGGACGCCCCTGAGGAGCTCTGTAGGCGATGGATGCAGCTGGGCGCATTTTATCCATTTTCTAGGAATCACAATGGCCAAGGATACAAGGTAAGGGTCCTAGGAAACAGAGTCAGAATCCATTTGGCGTACATTAGGACTAGATCTGTTTACATCCTCGCCAAGAATCTGCTGAGCCAACCTGTTACCTGGTCTTCACTTACACTAATTTGCACCATCGTGTGCAATTACCCAGAACATGTGCTGTATCATCAAAATGCCCAACTGCCTCAGCCTGTTATTTGCTGCTGCATTCAAGGATATGGCATCTGTAAAGGTCTTTAGTCAAATTTCTGTCCACTTTATCTACATTGCTTACTTTTAAATAAGAAGCAAACAAGGAAATACTTCAAAATTATTTAAATTGCAGTCTCTCAAGAGAGGAGTCTTAAAGAGTGAGGGAGGCAGGATGAATAGAAACCCTAAGGAGAGACATTTACTTGGTACTGCTCAGAAGTGAGGTTTGCAACCTAGGCCCCTGTCATTCAGAAGGGAAATTCCTGGTTGTAATGAATGAGGTCTGGAATTCTGCAGATTCCTCTGCCATCCTGCAGCCAAACCACAACTGCAAACTCCTATTTCCTTGCAGGACCAGGACCCTGCCTCCTTTGGAGCTGACTCCCTGCTGTTGAATTCCTCCAGGCACTACCTTAACATCCGCTATACTCTATTGCCCTACCTGTACACCCTCTTCTTCCGTGCTCACAGCCGAGGGGACACAGTGGCCAGGCCCCTTTTGCATGAGTAAGTTCACCTAACCTCCTCAAATTTTATTAATGTATCTGGAATGACACTGACTATATCATCAAATATCAGAGTGAAAAGTGAAACAATTCAGGCAGTTATTCAGATCTATCTATATATCTATCATCTATCTCAATTAATCTATCACTCTATCTGACTGGAATACCTAGTTGGTATTTGTAAGCCTCACCTGTTCCCTTTTGGTGAGAGAATTAGGCTAAAAGTCATGGGACTTCGGGTTTTTTCTTTGTTATGCCACTCACTAGCCCTATATCGTGGAAAAATCATTTTTCTTAGTTTCTTTAGTCTTAATATAAAGGATTTGAAATCTTGTCTGTGATGGTCTCTTCTGTAACGCACTAGAACACCAGAAGTATGTTCAAGCTGAAGCTGTAGGAATGAACCTATAACATAAATACAAATGAGGATATTTTAAAGGATTTGTAGAATTTCAGAATTCTTATTTCTCAGGCAATGAACATCTCTAACTTAATTCTAAAACAGGGCACTTAAAGGCATTTTCTTGTCAAAGTACAGTCAACTGCCTTATGTGGGTGACATATGAGGCCCTCAGGCACATATCAAGCTATTATATATTCATTATTTTGGGAAGTTTTTGTCTGCTCATGAAATTTCTTGTCAAAATGCAGATATCCTGAAAGAGAAAAAAGTAAAATATTAAATTGCCTGGTATTTTGGATAACCAGATCTAGTTTCTTGATACTCAGCTGAAGTTCTGAAATGTATTGATTATTTAACTTATTTTTTTATTTTAAATTTTTGTGGGTCCATAGTAGGTGCATATATTTGTGGGGTATATGAGATGTTTTGATACAGGTATGCAATGTGAAATATTAACATTATGGGAATGGTGTATCCATCCCCTCGAGCATTTATCCTTTGAGTTATAAACAATCCAATTACATTCTTTAAGTTACTTTTAAATGTACAATTAACTTATTATTTACTATAGTCACCCTATTGTGCTATCAAATCCTAGATTTTATTCATTCTTTCTATTTTTCCGTACCTGTTAACCATCTTCACTTCCCTCCCAGCCCCCTACTACCCTTCCCAGCCTCTGGTAACCATCCTTCCACTCTCTGTGTCATGAGTTCTTGGTTTTTAGATCTCACAAATAGGTGAGAACATGTGATGTTTGTCTTTATATGCCTGGCTTATTTCATATAACATAATGATCTCCAGTTCCATTCATGTTGATGCAAATGTCTGGATCTCAGATAACTTACTTTTTTTTTTTTTTTTAAAAAAAAAGAGGGATATGGAAAATAAAATACAGCCTGGGACCTGCCTAGCGTAGATACTGGAATGGAAACATCTGTTCATCCTGAGGGAAGAATAGGAGACGTGGGCTGGGGAAGGGGAACCTATCTAGGAGTGCATAGGGGATTGAGTAGGTGTCACAGAATAATTCGGGAGGTTTGCCCAGGCTGCTAGCCTGCATGCTTTCAACAAGTTGTGAGTAGAGCTACAATAAATCTCATTGGCAGTGACCCAAATCTCAGCGAACTGTCTCTCTTGTCACTAGGTTCTACGGGGACAACAACACTTGGGATGTGCACCAACAGTTCTTATGGGGGCCCGGCCTCCTCATCACTCCAGTTCTGGATGAAGTAAGTGTTCCCACAGAGATACACTAGGGATCTCTGCTTCTGATCCTGCTGTCCTGCAAACTCCTTTCTCCTTATTCGAAACTCATTTCCGACATCTCTGACGGAGTCAGCCTCAAAGAGAGTATGCTAGGTTTTGAGAAGGTAGACATCTGGTAATTACACATTTTCTGTTTTAGAATTTTTTTTCTTGATGAAGTTTCCAACCAGTTTAGAAGCATTTACTGAAAACTCTATATTACAAGTTAGGTTAGGTTGCTCTTGCATTGCTATAAATTAATGACACGGTAATTTACAAAGAAAAGAGATTTAATTGGCTCATGATTCTGCAAGCTTTATAAGAAGCATGATCTGCACAGCTTCTAGGTAGGCCTCAGGAAGCTTACAGTCATGGAGGAAGGCAAAGCAGGAGCAGGGATGTCACATAGCAAAAGCAGGAACAAGACAGAGTCAGGAGAGGTGACAGACTCTTTTTTTTTCCCCCCATTTATTTATTTTATTGCATTTTAGGTTTTGGGGTACATGTGAAGAGCATGCAAAATTGTTGCATAGGTACACACGTGGCAGTGTGATTTGCTGCCTTCCATCCCGCCACCTACATCTGGCATTTCTCCCCTTGCTATCTCTCCCCAGCTTCCCA